CAGTGAGGTCATGTAGCTCCAAGTGCACCTCACCAGCAAGACTTGACCTCTACTTCTGCAGAAACAAACATCAACCAATACATATCGAAACAACACACAAAATGGGGATTGCTTTTACATCAGAATTAGGAGTTCCTTGGTGTACACGAGGACAGACCAGGTAAAACTGGTTCTAACACAGCAGTGGTAAAGTTCCACCAAAAGAAAACTGTTCCTTCTGGTCAAGAGGATAAAATCTCTGGCCTGGGCAGAGGCCTAACATCTAAGTTACCCAACATGTAAGAGTGAGCATGGGTCAGCATGCCAACCACCCGGCTGTGGGAGCATGCCAGGAAGGTGGAGCACCCAGGGGAAGGCAGACGCACCAGACGCCAGGCAGAAGAGATAAGCAGAATAAATTCCTCTAATTAGATATGTACTTTTACTTCTCAGGATCCCAGCCCCTGGCACAGTCCCTCTAACCTGCCTTAGGGTTCAGCTGGGTTCTCACTCTAAAAGGTACAACTCGTTTTTTCTGTCTCCTTTAAAATACTGGCAGAAAGCTAAATATGTTTTTTTTTTCCAGTACTTTGGGATTCTGTGCTTTTTTCCCCCAAAACCTCTCCCCACCATATGGCTACCTGCTGAAGTACAGCATGGATTTTTTTTCCTTCTCTTCTCCTCTCCCCTCTGGGTAAATACTGAGATTTACAGTTGGCTTGCTCTGGGAGTTCTTTTTTAAACACGTATAAAATTGTCCTCAAGCTTCCATTTGATCCATTTTAATAAAACCCTCATTAACGAGACTAAGAACCCCAGGAGGCTACTACTCAGGTCCTTTCACTTTAGGCAAACCTTGATTTTGACTTTCAAACTCTCCTGCCAAACTCTCTTAATCAGCAGAAAAAAATGAACCCGTTCCTACACCCTAGACAGTATGGTTGCCGTACAGTATACAACTTCATGGAAATTCCACATCGTGCACAGTGGTAGTTGCTATAAACTATGCCAGAAACATATTTCCAACTGTGAGTTCAGGAAAGGCAGCCTTTGGAGCTGCAGAACATTAGGCCAGGGGGACTCTGGTTCCTGTGGTATGAGGCTGTGAAATTTAAGACCCATATTTGCCCAAACCAGCTTCTGAATGAAGGCTATAGCACCTTTGTGTCACAGAGCAGATTCAGGGTGTACGTCACAGAAGTTAGCACCACACATTGTCAGCCATGCCACCACAAAGCAGGTTCATTACCCCAGGGGTGCCACATCTGTAAGGTTCTGGAGGGATGACCTTGTTCCTTGTACTGAATGACACGTTTTGCTTTGCTCTGTAATGCCATACTAAAATGACTGTCTACAGCTGGTATGACTAAAGAATCAGAGCTTCAGAAACCCGACAGAGACACACAGGAGATTCTGCCCAACACTGGCACACTCTCTCACTGAAGGGAAGCTTTCAACCCAGAGGACTGGAGCCCACAGCAAGGCCTTCCACACTTCTCTGGCCTCTGATCACCTGCCCACTCACGGTCTGAGCTCCTTCCTGCCCCAGCATTTCATGTATGATCCAGGTTTAGAACGCAGTATGCACTTGACAATGGGAAGATGACCTTATTCCTGAGGTCAGAACAAACAGCAAATCCACATTCCCCTGCTCTAATGAAATTAAGTCCCTTCCTCCCCATGTGCTCAACTTACAGCCTTTCAGCTCAGGGCAAACTGCAGATGAAAGGCTGCTGCATCATCTAGCTTTTTTGCAGTTTCTTGGTTTTCTTATCCTAATCATTCGCCTATTTTACTCACCCACCAGTCACTTGATTTCCTAATCTTAACTCTAGTTTCCTCATTTTCCAAATTTACATTCTAAGTTTAGCCCTTTGCCTCGGTAGCTAAAATCTCCCAGCAGATTCCCCACTCCCACTTCCTGTCATAGTTAAATATGACCCACTTTCCCTCTGGTATTTTTTCTGCACGATGGTTTTATTTCCCAGCACTTTAGGCATACAGGCAGTCCTCTCTGAACCTCCTCCAGGTTTTTCTCTGCCCCAATGCTGGTGAGGTCTGAGAAAACCTGCCTGGCTCCTGTCACCTGAAGTCTTGGCCAGTCTTTGGAGAAAACGCCCTATGACAGCATAACTCAAGAGATGACTTTTTCACATTCTTTATCTGCATTTTCATATCCCCATAATCCCTATGGTTATAAGCTTCCTAATTTCCTTAAGGCTGGACGTTTCCTTCTTTACTGTTCATATCTTTTAATCACATCTTCTATTCTGCTTATACTGCGAGTTTGCTTTGCTTTGTTGTTTTGCCTTTTGAAATACAGTCTTGATAACTTACATAGGATGGCCTGGAACTCGTAATCCTCCTGCTTCAGCTTCTCAGATGCTGACTATAGACAAGTCATCATGCCAATTGCATTTTTGAAATACTAAAAGGTCATATTCTTTGCTTCCACCAAGGAACTAGGACATACATATCTTCCTATCTGGCTAGAGTCAAGGTGAGCTCAGAGTCTGCCTCTCCTACAGACAGTCTGAAGATGTACTGGCCCAAGTGGCAGTAGCTAACCTCCCGGAAGAACACCACCATACACAGGGCAGGTCTGCATTGCTCTATTTCTGTGGCATCCTGTCCAGGTGAGTCTCAGGCATCACAATCAAGGTCTCACTAACCCTGTCCTACCTCCTAATAACTCCCATTTCTTCCCCTTCCTGTGTGGCTTAGCCTAGGACCCATGGGGAGCAAACCACACTCTTGACTTCTGCTTTCTGGTGTTATCAAGGGCAGTACAGCCAGAGGAAGGCAGACACTTGTGCATTTCATCCCACTCCTGTTACTCCCAGGATTCTTATTTTAAAATGTATTAATTTTCAACTTTTGGGGGGTCACCAAAAAGCACCCCAAGAGGAAGAGACCTGGTCAGTTGTCCTCACCAACTTATCATGAACCCCAATAAGGACAAGTTCAACAGAACCACCATATACGGGCTGCCCATGCCTGTGTTAGCATTGCCAGGACATAAATTTCATGTCACCAAAGGACAACCTGCAGGAGTCAGTTGTCTCCTTCCACCATGAGGGTCACCGGGCCAGGTGTGGGCTAGACGGCAGATGTGCCTCTGGTGCTGTGGGATAATGCTCTTATACACTCTAAAGATCTGTCACACGTATTGGTTTAATAAAACACTGGTTGGCCAGTAGCCAGGCAGGAAGTATAGGTGGGGCAGCAGGACTAGGAAAATTCTGGGAGGAGGAAAGGCAGAGATGCAGTCGCCATCCAGAAGCACAGGAAGCAATATGAGAATGGCTTACTGAGAAAAGGTACCAAGCCACGTGGTTAAACATAGGTAAGAATTACGGGTTAATTTAAGTTGTAAGAGCTAGTTAATAATAAACCTGAGCCCACAGGCCAGTTTATAATTAATATAAGCCTCTGTGTGTTTATTTGGGACTGAATGGCTGTGGAACCCAGCGGGATGGAAACTTCCATCAACGTTCTAGAACAGTTTTTCTCCAGCCCACGTGTCCTCAGGACCAGAATGTTACCACCTGGTATTTTGAGTCCTCCACCCTGCACAATCATTAGTGGCGTGCACACACACACACACACACACACACACACACACACACTGCTTTACATCACATACTACAGAGAAAGTTCTGGAATCTATTAGACTGACGAGTATGTTTTTCTGGACTGGCCCTTCTCCTCCAGGCATTGGGTATCTAGCTACGAAGCTTGAACAGACAACTTCCTGTCCATGAAGGCACAAAATGCCACAAGAGAATCCATGGAGTTGGTACCTTCATGTCAGTGCGCTGTCCAGCCTGGTAGGGCCAAGCATGATGGGCCAAGCAGCAACAGTGTTCATTGGCTCAGAGCTGGCCATGTCAATAACAAGGCTAGCTGGAGACAAAGGGGCATCTTCAGGCTGCTCCATGTCAGACTGCAGGATTGTCACTGGATTCTGAGCTTACAAGGAGGAAGTGTTAGCACATCAAGGCAGCTGTCAATGAAAACTCTGAACTGGGGAAAAGGTGGAGGACAGAAGGGTCCCTGAATATACCCCAAGAGCAGAGAATGTGAACTAAGCCTTGGCCGGGCCCAGGGAGGTGAGGCTGGCTTAGGGCAGTGCTCGTCCTAAGATCTTAGCTCTGCCTCTTGCCTCCTTCCTCAGATTCAACTTTAGAGAGCCCCAACTGTCAACAATGAGTTGTAGCACTGACTTATTTAACACAGAAAGGGTTTCTGTCATTTTTTTTGTTTTGTTTTCTGTTAGTGACACAGCACTGCTCTCTAAGAGATGCTTTCTGAGGACTACAAAACCCGTTAGTGCCCCGACTAAGCGAGAGTGCTGATCCCCGATTTCCATTACCTTTTTCTGTGACAGCCCCGCACGAGCTATCCCACTTACAGGTGCATTTTCAGCAACTAGAGTGGTCAACACAGATGAAAGGAGCTCTGTGCGCAGCAGCCTTTGCCCAGCAAACACGTGACAAGGACTATTTATTGTTGGAGACCTGTTTTGCAGGCTGAGGGCATCTTTCTCCACCACCACCTCAGACAGCTTGTGCACGGTTAAGATAAAGATTTAGGGAGGATCGGTAACTTACCCAGGTCATGCTCATCTTACGTAGAGTAGGCCCAGATCCACAGCCAAACTGCATACCTTCAGTCACTGTGCTGATCATGGACTATCTTCTACCTTAACACTGCCTAATAACAAACACCAAATCTTATTTTACTTTATGTGCTTTGGTGTTTTGCCATGGTGTCAGGCCCCCTGGAACTGGAGTTACAGAACATTATGAGCTGCTATGTGGATACTGGGAATTAAACCAGAGTACTCTGGAAGAGCAGCTGGTACTCTTAACTGCTGAGCCATCTCTCCAGCTCCCCACACACCAAATCTTAATCCCTCTGCCCACAAAGGCGGTGAGATGTCAGAGCTGACTTCAGCACAGGTCCCAGTCTGCCACAGTCCTTAAAAGCAGATACTTAACCACAGCACCAGAACAGGCTTCAGAGTTTACTAAGTTTATTTTGAGTTGTTTTCACAATCCTTGGCATCTGAGTGTATTAAAGGAATCAAAAGCAAAGACCGAGAGGAAGCCCAATCTTGAACAGTGAAGACAAGAGACATTACCAATGACAGGAAACTTCTACCCCATGGGCCAGGCACCTGAGATCAGTCCACAGCTTAGGAGTATGGCTTTTAGGGCAGTGGACGACTGACCAGCATTGCCATGCCAGAGTGCACAGAGCAGACTTTGCTAATCAAGGTGACAAGAGCACAGCAAGTTTCATAAGTGCATCTCGTGATGATCCCCAGAGAAAACCATGCCCTCCCCACAGGCAGAATCTCTGAGTGGGCTGCCAACCTCCTCGAGCTGCTACAATACAGGTAACAAAGCCAGAGTCCTTTCACAGACAGAATGAAAATGAAAGGGCATTCATTACTCATGTTCATCTGGGCTACTCTCTGAAGTCACAGCACTACAGTGGCTGCTGCGTTCTCGTAAGGGCTACCATATTTTTAGCACCATTTATGTTGTTGTAGATCAAGGCAATTTCCAATAGATAAATGAAAACTAAAATTAATCACAAATGTATTTTGAGGTTTAAAATTAAGACTGAAGCACTGGTTACTGGAGAATGATGACCGAGGCTATCTGCGTGCTGTGCTCCGTATCCCTTTCTTGTACTGACCTGGGGAAAGCAGCCGAGGGTACAGAAGCAGTTGACCCTGGTGCTATCCATGGCATGAATGTCTTCACTCGCACCTTTATTCAAGGGCTGCATGGCTAAGCACCAGATCACCTATCCTCTGAAGAGATGATCTTAAAAGAAAGGACTAAAATTTGGGGAGGAGTCAATAGAATATATTTATTCATTAACTCTTCAAATTCATTCAGAGTTTTATTCTCTTATAATTTAAGCATAGTCTGTTGGGCATCTACTGCTTTTGTTTTTATACAGTGTGGCAGTTAGTGTTAATTGCCAACTTAACAGAATCTAGACTTCCATGGGTGATGAGCCTTTTGGGCATGCCTGCAGATGACCACGACCACCTTCACTGAGGTGAGAGCATCCATTCACCTTGGTGACACCATGCCCTGGCTGGCACCGTGGACTGCATAAATGCAGAAAGGAACTGGGCAGCAGCATGCATTCACTGCTTTGGGTTCCTGCCTGGGCACGTCATGTGACTAGCTATTTCAAGGTCCTGCCACCTGACTTCCCTGTCATGGACCCTTGAACAGTGAGCTAAAATAAAACCTTGTTTCCTTAAGTTGCCTTTGTCAGAGCTTTTTATTAGAGCAACAGGTCTTTTTGAAACTAAGACCTGCATCATTTTAAAGTGCATTCTGAAGCCAGTTCGTCCTTCAGCTCCCCTCCTCTTAGTTCCTCAGACCTTCCTAAAACTGTAAATGGACACTGCCCTCCACCTTTGCCAAACTGGGCTCTGGCGTTTCTCTCAGATGAAAAGCACAACTGAAGGCTTTCTACTTCTAGTGCGGTTCTTCCTTTTTTAAGGAACATCAGAGCTTAACGCAAAGCTGTCTGTTTTATGTATACTGACAAGCAAGAGTCCTCAATGATTTACGCTCCCAAAAATACGCTCCAGCTTTCAGCAGGGAACACCTGCAAAGTAATGCTAAGAAAAAAAAGATAAACTGATCAAACTAAATTTTTATATCAAAGGAAGACACGGCAGGAAGTGTATGTCAGCCCTGCTCATACAGTCACCATCAGAGGTTCATCGTGGGTAATACATCACCTCAAAAAACATCTACAAGACCTTCACAAAAACAAGACCACTGTTTCTTAGGTAAAGAGCACATGTGGGTGGAAAAGGAGGGGACGGGAAGAACAGCACAGAGCCACTTAGGAAACCAAAAGAAAAAAGCTTCAACACATAAGACCTCACAAATGTACTACTATGGTGGCAATGCCTACATTCATAGCTCTCAGGAGTTGAAAACCTGAGAATGATTATGTCTCAGAAAGTCAAAATCAACCAAATAAATTAACAAAACAAAAAAACATGGATGTTCTTCCAACAGAAGTTTTATCAATTCATATGGTATGCAATTTTCCTTAGTAAGTCCTAAAATTGGAAGGAAAAAAAATACACAAGAGGACATGCAATGCCATTTTTCTTCAAGAAAAAGCTCATCAGACACGACTGAATATTCTGTAGTATAATCAAAGAGTTGGCAGCTAGACAGGAAAACAGGATGAATCCTCCTCTCTATGCAATGAGAATATTTCCTTATGCATACAGGAGGAAATGCAACTAGCTCTTATCCAACTCACTAGAGGCACTAATGCTGCCACCATGACCACATGCATGACTCAACCAACAGGTGTTGCACATCCACAACCAACACAGGTGAGCAAGAAAATCTGAGAACATTCTGAAAAGGCGACATTAACTCCATGGGACATAATATAGGGAAATTGTACCTAACAATATCACAAACAAGAAGGACATAATATAGGGAACTGTACCTAACAATATCACAAACAAGAAGGAAGTATCAAATATAAAGAGGTTTCCCAGAAGTCCAGTTCAAGCTCACTAAGATTAGCTTGTCTTTAAAATGCAGGTAAGCATGAGTATTACCAAGAGCACTGCTAAAATTCAGTAGTGACTAAGCCCCATGGACAGTTTCGAGGTCCCCAAACAGCACAAATGACTCCTACTAGGAATTATCTAAGCATTTCAAGTTCTGGTTTCAAAACTCTTCAAACACGAATGGCAGGCATTTCCTACTATTTAATTACAAACAAAATAAAGTGTCAAAGTCAACAGTAAGCCGTTATTATTACTTTAACTTGGATGCTAGGTACCTCCTCTCTCAAGGGTACCATAGCATTTCACAGTGAAAACACAGACTCTCTACCATAGTTACACACAGCACAGCACTGAACAGTTAACCAAAGGTTGTGATTTTACTCATGAGGGAACAGAAGAAATACTACTGAATGATTTGTATATCCTGAGTTTTCCTACCTAAGACAATATTTTTTAAGACTTAATTTTTAATTAAATGACAATTTATATTTTAAAGGGTTATCCTACCTCCCAAAACAAGGTGCTCATCATCTGTATGAATTGGATTAAATTAAAGGTTTTAACTATGAAAAAATAAATTCAACTCATCAAGATAACAGCACCAACAAATGCTGAACCGACTGGGGTGCTACAAATGGAATCCTAAAAGAGGGATGTGTCTGGTCGCCATGAACAAAGACCATGGGCTATGGCCCTCAAGGGAAACAAAGGACCCAAGGTACCCCATGCTTAGCAGGTCTCCAAGTCAGGGCCATGGCTTGTGCCATGCACAGAGACCTATCATAGCTAGCACGGTTGCCTCCTTCTAGCTGCCCAAGCAGCTATGCACTTTTGCATTGCTTACCACATGCTTCTGGCTTTACTTGCCTATCAGACATCCTGGATAGTTGGCTGTCTCTCATCCTGTCACATATGGGTTTGGCAGTTCGTGAGATCTTCAAGAGCATGAAAGGGGCAAAGGAGAACACGTCAACTTCAGAGACAGTTTTCATTTCCATTTCTATAAACAGGTGGATATAAACTTGGTTCTGAGGGTAGAATCGTGACCATTGGAACTTATCGTAATCCACAACCCCAACACTAGGGCACATGTGCCAACAGGATCTCTCAATGCCAGGGCACCAAGCCTCAGAAATCAGTGTCTAGACTCCTCCCTGTGCTCTCCTGTATCTTTTCCAGGCTTCAAAAAAAATCTACTCTGGGACCCAATTCTTAATCCTCTGAGAGACAATCTATTTAAAATAGTATTAACTGGGATATAAATATAAATTCACTGGTCATCCCTCCAAAAGCAGGTGAAGCTAACAAAAGATACTGTAACTATCCACGCCAGGATATTACCACTTAAAAGCATATCTCATAGGAAGACCACTAATGGGACCCATCACCACCAACTCCAAAAGAATAAAAGTCAAAAACAAAACTACTGTCTTAAAAAGTAACACCAGTTTACCATTAGAACTTTCATTGGACATGTTTCTTTTCAAACAATTTCCTCTCACACAAAAACATCTGCTGTACTGAGAAGTTGTTTGTACCTCCCAAAGGCACATGCTGAAGCCCCCAGTGAGACACACTGTGTAACAGATAGAACAATGACTTGGCTACTTCTTGTTATCAACAGTCTTCAGAGCATCACAGTTCCCGTTGGTTCTCCCGGATTGTCCCTGGAGAGCTGCAGCCCCGAGGCCCAGAGAAGGAGCTGCGTGTGCACCTGTGCTGCCTCTCACAGCTGTCCACATGGGTGTCTCTCACAGACTCGTCTCCTCACACACTCTGACAGGGATGTTATAGTGCCGATCATCCTCAGCTATGAGGGTCACCACTGGCCAGTCCTTGGGGGGGTCAGTGGGGTAGACTGTGATGAACTCCTCGGTGTTATACTTGGACAACCGGTACACCTGGATGGTGTGGCGAACAGCATATGCAAGGAGGAACATTTCAACCTGGGAAGGAAAAGCAAGTGAGTGTTCCGAGGGGAGCCACAGATGGGGCCTAACACCAAGCTGTACCCATTATCCCAGACAATGAGAGGCATTGGCTTCACTGCAACCTTCCTCCTCCCCTCTGAACCTAGTCAAGGGAGGGGCTATAAAGAATGGAGTGCATTATCTGATAAGGAACTTATACTTGGAATATATTAAGAATGCTCCCAAATCAACGATTAATAAAACAATTTAAAACTGAATGAAGGACTTGGAAGACATTTCTCCAAAGAAGACACATGAATGGCCAATAACCACATTAAATCATAAGCCCTTAGAGAAAAGCAAACCAAAGCCATAAGGAGATAGTACTTTATACCCATGAAAATGTAAATATAATCAAAAAGACAGATGACTGCTCCATGAATAGTGTTTTCTTTGGGAGTGATAAAAACATATGGGGACTGAAAATGTACTGTCAATTAATCAGATATTAAATGGAAAAAAAGCCTGAATGGGTTTTGGGTTTCTTTATGGAGCTCCAACGTGGCCCGAGATTAGACTACTGCTGGTTAGAATGCTTTAAAAGGAAAAATTAATGGTGCTTAAGTTATATTTCAAAAGGGACAATTTTTAAAGAGGATGCAGCATTGTAGCAGAGCTTGCTGGGTCTTTGAAAGGACTAACTTAAGCCTAGCATGTAGACCAAGTCCTACTAGAGTGTTTGCCACACACGGTCTTTGCTACAGTTCAGGGGCATTCTGAGCACAAACAGCTATTTTTTAAGTAATCATAAATATTGCTGGCCTAGCAATAACCACCAGTCTTTTACTCTTTTTTACTCCTTAAGCAAAACAACAGAATAGGTTTCATAGATGTCTACCTGCCAGAAAGACTCAGATAAACTCAACTTGACTATTTCTGGAAGCATCAGTCCTGATACTTGGGTCTTTTCAGGAACAATCATGCACAGGAGTCCAAGAAAGGTAGCAAGTTAAATTCAGCCTTAGTGTTACTTTAGTGGTTAGCTAATTGTGCGCAAACACACACATATGCATACACAGTATTAATATTTTTTAGAGAAATGACATAAAAAGCAAAACACGATAAGGTGACTTGCCTTTTGGCTTAGAGAAGGGTCCTAGTGTAGATATTGCACTAGGAAGCTGCACAATATTCTAAATTTAGCTTCTACCAAAGAAGAGCTGAGAGGCTAGGCTTTCCTGGTACAGCAGCCAAGACTAAACAACACCTCAGATGGCTCTAGCTGGTGCTTTATAAAGTATTTTAGTCTGCCAGAGTCAAGAGAGCTACGTCACTTTGCAGAAGCAATCCTAGGATTGTGTAAGGGTCAAGACTAACCTCATTTCCCTCCCCTTGAGTAAGGAATGTATTAGTGACTAGCTTCTAATAAACAGAATGTGGGATAAGTGAGACTGTATCATCCTAGCCCTACAGAGAAGGGCCCGTATGGCGAGGAATACTCCTTCTGGCTACCAATGAAGAACTGAGGTTTCCTGCCAAAAGTCATGCATGTAAGACATGCAAGTAAAATGTCCAGCCCCAATCGAGACAGAAGCACCTATGTAAGCTGTTCCTGAAACGACCTACAAACTGTGAGATCCCATTTGGTGCTAACAGAGATAAAATACTCTCAAAGGCACATCTCACCTGTTCAAGGCCACCAGTGTGTCCCACCTGGTTCAGATGGTTCCTCAGTAGCTGTCCAGGGTCACTTGATGTGTCTCGAGCAAATAAGAGCACAGAAAAAAACGGGACTTCCTTTCCCTTCTCTTTATCATCATAGAGTTCGATGGCTCTGTTTAGCATTAGGAATTTCACAGCTTCATAGAGGCTGTACTCCTCGTCTTCATTTGTGAACAGTTCATCACAAGCTACCTGCCGTGCTTCAGCAGTCTTCATTTCTGCCAGGCGTGCCCACTACAATAAAAGAAGTTGTCACAATTAGTTTTGTTCTGAAAATCCCTGGCATACTTCTGTGCCATGAGTAATGCTTTTCAAAAGTAGGGGACCATAGGACATATATATGCCAATGTGACGAGGTTCAAGTTCTCACTTCTCACAGGATATTCGGGCTATATGAGCCCCTTAGCTTCTCCCCTTGTAAATGTGAAACAGAAGTGCAACCCAGTACAAGGAAGCATGGGGTGTGAGGTGGGAGTATGAACTCCACTAACTTCCCAAGCAACAAGAACAACACAACAATCAGAGGCATCTGGAAGAACAGTGTGTGGGAGTGATGAAGACAGCTATGGCTTTTACACCTGAAGGGGTTTCAGAACCTTACCCCCAGAAATACACACGGAAGTCTTTGAAATGGAAGACTGTGGGATCTCCTGAATACTGGTTTATTAAACTTACCCCTATAATGTCTTAAATATGTACATGGGTGTCTAATGAATAAGTCCAATCAGAAATTCTTGATTCTTAATTAAAAATAAAAGTTTTCAGATAATAGGCAAACTCTTAAAATGAACAAGAAAACATTGTAAATATGTGTACTGCTAAGATACCATGAGAGAAAAAGATGTCACTATAAATACCAGTCTTTATAAATAAGCATTAATTAGCACTGCTTTCAAACACCGATCCAGACTTTAAACCTGAGAGAAATGTTAATGGCCATGACCATTTGGAACCCTCTGATCTTCACAGCTGGAACACATTGTCCACATCTCCCACTTTCTAGAAGTAGACCATGGTTCTGGCTAGGAGCAAGATTCTAGAGTCCAGAAAGTCATAATACAATTAAGATTGGCTATGCAGCAGGGTGGCTTTATCGACTTCCGGGCTGTGGATACTCATCTTTAGAACAGGATAACCACAGCCATCTGACTTTTTGGTAGTAAAGTTAGAGCATCCTAAGTAACTTTTAGTGCCAAGTATGACAAAGAAGCGTGACAGTTGCTGGCACAGATTATTAAAGAGCAATTTTAATGTTACTGAAAATTGGGATCACATACACATTTCCCCAAAGAAGGGTCTAGTTACAGTCAACAAAACTAACAGTTTCACCAGACCCTAAAAAACATGATTTGCAAAAAAAAAAAATAAAAATAAAAAAAGATTTGCAACCTCCAGCTAAGCTGACAAACTTTCCACTCCCTCTGTCAGTGCTGCAGTCTGCCCTCACCACTCCCTATGACAGCAGCTGAGTACGTGCAGGCTCCTCGCCCCTAAGCACTGCACACTACACTCTAGTAGACAAGAATGACCATGCTCTTCTAGTACACTCTACCACAGACAGGTAGAGCTATCTACACCAGAGCAGGGGAAGTAAGCGTACCAAGTCCATACAACTCTTTGGTTTCAAAAGACAATTCACTAAACTGATTTACCAAAAAAGAGTTTTGAACATGCTAGGCGGTGGTGGCACACACCTTTAGTCTAGCACTTGGGAGGCAAAGTCAGGCAGATCTCTACAAGTCAAGCCTAACACCTGGTCTACAAGAGCTAGTTCCAGGACAGCGAGGGCTGTTACACAGAGAAACCTTGTCTCAAAAAACAAAAACACACACACAAAAAAAAAAAAAAACAACAACAAAGACTTTTAAACACATATGGGCAGACTCCTAAAATAACTGGAAAGAACTTCATGAACACACAGCGGCCACTGAGAAAAGGAATGCACACCAAAGGGCTGGAGAGACAGCTCACAGTAAGGAGCACTTGCTGCTCTTGCAGAGGGTGTCATGTTGGTGCTCACAATCACCTCTAACTCCAGTTTGAGAAATATAACATCCTCTTCTGGTTGCCATGGGTACCCATATGCACACACACTCACATAAAATAAATCATTAAAGAAAGAAATATAGGCTAAATGATAACCCTGAAACTTAAACATGACTTAGTTTCTTCTGAAAAAGATTGAATGTTATCTGACATACTTGTATACAGCACCACCTCTAAGAATACAGAACGTCGGTGCTTCTCAATTTTACTGAAGACTTTATGGAAAGAATTTATGCTCTTTCAAAGTTTTCTTTTTCAATGTGCATGCAAGTATGTGTGCACATGTGTAAGAGTACAATGTGTGTTCATGCACGTGGAGATTAGGGTCTCTGACTCAATGGTCAGTGAGCTTCAGGGTCCTCCTGTGCCCTACTCTACAATGCTGAGATTACAACCATGTGCCACCCTATCAGGCCTTCGTATGTGACTTCTGAGGACCAAACTCAGTTTCTGGTCATGCATTTTACTGATCACACGATTCCCTCAGCCCCAAATTATTTTCTCTGAAACCAGCAAATTCTGGCTTCTAAAGAGAATCAAGAGCCAAAATGAACCTTCTTTCTTTATAAACTTAAAGAACTATGAATAAATAAGCCTAGAGCATAGAATCTTCTGGGGAACAAAAGAGGAAGCTTTACATGCATCCGAGACAGAGAATCACACGGGTCAGACCTTCGTCCTCAGCAGGGCAAGGGACTCCTTAATTTTTTCAACCAGGTCCTCATTCTTCCCATCAAACTTCAGTCCAAGTTTCCATTGCTTGATCCAGCTATACTTGTTTATCAGCTTTTCTGGTAACTGGAATATCAAGAAACAGATAAACAGATGTCAGCATTGCAAGACATCTATGATGCAACCTGAAAGGGAGACAGCACAAAGCCTTTATACAAAAAACCCACCTGAATTTCCAGAATTCCTGCAATTATCATGTGGGTTCAGGATGGAGAATCTGAACCCGGAAGTCACAAAATCAGCAAGTATTGCCACACAGATGGCTGCTAGACTGAATGCTTTTGATTCAGATCGACAGGAGTGCAGCCTACAGGACACCACCCATAGGACATAACAGGCAAACAGGAAGCTAAGGAAGTCCCCATACTGGGTCTTCACAATAGCCACCTTGGCAGGCAGCCCTACCGCTCATCAGTTCTCAGCGAGGTAACTGTGAGCACAGAGGCCCATGGTCAAGTCAAAGCCTGTCCCTGGTGAGACAGCAAAGCCTAATTTCTGATACTAAACACACAAGACCTGCCTGTTAAGCAATGTTAACACACATATTTAATCAACACCAAAATACGGAAAAGATGAGTGAGATTCAGCAGCAATGGGCGGGTAAGGGAGCTGTACCTTCCCTACTTATTGACAGAAGGACAAGTACTATTGTGGTCCTCATTTTTTGTTCTTCTTCCTGGACTATTTCATTTTTCCCTGCACATCAATAGAATGAACTCTGAAAATCACAATTTGATCAATGAGATCATGGGACACTATGTCCTGGGTGTGTCAGAATAAAAACCATAGACTTGGGCTGGGTATGGGCATGTCACTGCACTGCTAAGACTTCACCTCTGTGGTCCAGTGAGATGGCTCAACAGGAGAGGCAGGCATACATGTGCACACACAAATGTAATTAAAATTTTATAAGTACAGAGAAAGTGAGATTTTACCCCTGGAGTAAAGAAAAAAGAATCACATCCCCAATGTCTTATGTGGAACTTGTTTAACAGTAATAAACAGCTTAAAATGAGATGTGTGCTCAGTGCCACTGGGACCTAAAACTCAGAGACTCATCAACAATAATTCTGACTGTGCTTTCTCAGTCTGGCACAATCGTGTGCAACTAAGATGGTTTTGTCTCTATAAAAATGAAAACCATAGTAGCAGTGCTCTGCATCACTCAAGGGGGAGAGCCATGCAGTCACTATCATCTCATCATAAGGACCACTCAGAATTTAACATGCCCTCAAGTGGCAATAAAGTGAAATTACAACTCAGCTCCAAGAACTACAATCAGACAAAAAATACCTGTTCCAAAGACGTGTGAGGTGGAAAAGGAGATAAAGGGCAGCCCAGAGCAGCTAAGGATGCTGTACCACTGAGCGGCCATCTAAAGTGCAGGAACAACAATCAACTCGGTTACCTTTGGGGGAAAACAGCTAATTTCCTCACTTCAGTCACTCACCAGTCAATCTGCCAACCAAATGTTAACCAAGTCCAGGTGTACACTTCCTGATGCAGGAATCTTGGAGAAAAGTCCACAAAATAAAACAGAAAAGAAACTAGCAGGTTAGCAGGCCAACAAGACAGTTCAGTGGGGGGAAAAGCTAAGGCCATATAAACCTGCTGCCCTGAGTTCAATCTCAGGAATGCAAGTAAATGTAGAAGGTGAGCAAATCCACAAAGTTGTCCTCTGATCCCCATACACTCACAATGTGTATGGAAGCTTACATGCGCACACATGCGTGCGCACATACACACTTTCTAAGGAACTATATGAAAGAACAATGGAATTGGATTTATTAGGAAGAAGTAAATATAACTTGAAATGATTTCATGAATCACAACTGGGTTCCACATAAATCATCATTCCTTTCTAAGTAAGCACACAGGTCTGCCTTCTGTTGCAGTAGGAGATGCAAGAAACAGACTGGCCAAGTGGTGGCGCACATCTTTAATCCCAGCAGAGACAGTCGGAGTTTGAGGCCAATCTAGCCAACAGAGTTCCAGGACAGCCAGGGCTACAGAGATTCTGTCTCAAAGAATCAAAGAAAGACACTGACGCAAGAAATGATGACAGTAAGAGTTTGAGAATCACTCGGTAGCTTAAGCACAACACAGCCTGTTTTCTCTAACAAATAACTATAATCTTGATAACACGAAATTACAAGTGTCAAAAGCATCATCCCAAAATGAAAGACTTTAGTGTCTTTCTCAAGCAAATGATGTCACAGGTTTCACCCATTCAGACATCTTTAAAATACAGTATACTTAAAAACTAAAAAGCTTTGTCCACCCTTAATCTCCAGGTTGGGACCTGACCTGCTTCAAATGTGGCATTTAGGACGTTATGTGCACCAGAAGCTCTTAGAAAGTATAAAAACTTAGATTCAGTGTCAAATAAGCCCAGAAATCTAAAAAGCCCCACAGACGTAAAGGTACAATAGAATCAATATGATTTAATAATAATTTTCAAAGTACTCTTTTGTTTTTAAAAGTACTGTGGGCAAAGTCTCTCCCCTTGGAATAAAAGCATTCTAAGAAGGCGTCTATATCTACTACGTTACAGAACACACTCATTCCATTCACTGGTTGTGTTGACAGTACACAGTCCGTGCCTGTGTAAGAAGCCCAGTGTGACAGGGACAAGTCAGCCCGCACATATTCACTCATCCACTACGCCGGCAGTTTAACTGTTCCTCCTAGGAAATCCTCACTGGTGAGGGCTAGAGCACACAGAAGTAACATCTTTGCCATGTTCTAATCAGCTAGGCCTGCTGGCTCACACCTGTCACACCACAGGCAAGAGACTGAAGCAGAAGGGTTACAAGTTTGAGGCCAGCCTGGGCTACAGAGTTAAAACTACGTCCACCCCCACACTCCAAAAAGTCTTCATCTCACATGTAAATAAAAACCAACAAAGCCATGTGAACTAGTGCCAGGATTTACAGAACTTCCTTTTATAATGCACCGCACAAAATGTCGGCATGTGTCCTTCTTTGTATCGGGACACCTGGAGACACAGATCCCAAGGACTCTCTACCAAGTGGCAGATTTAAAGCACTAAAGACAACCAGCCCAGGAAATGTCTCTCTACATCAACACCAACATTTCACCTTGGAAAGAGGATTCATTTTTGATCTGTGTCTAAAACCCTGGCTGGACCCCAATACTCAATTATACACCCTACTTCACAGAAATAAGAAAATAAAGTCAAGTTGTTTCTATGTGCTTTTTGATGAATTCTAAACATCTGGACTCTAATTCAGCTTAATTGTATTAAGTTTCATCGTTTTTCTCTTCTGGAAAACACTGGTTATTTCTGGTCAATTTTTCATATATAAAATCATCTTAGATGTGCAAAATTGAACAAGTCTGAAATCACGCTGTATATTACACCATCACACAGGATGAGCAGAAAAGAGATGTCTTCTCACAAGAACTTCCTGAAACGTGGGGATTCAGATCCATGCAGCAACGTACCAGCATGAGGTCCGGGTTCTGCAGCCAGAGGGGCAGTTCTGTGAGCTGGCTCATGGCCTGGAACAGCGTGGCCCTCAGCGCACAGTAATTATCACCACGAACTCGCCTTATAGATGTGAACTTCTGAGAAACTTCCTCGTAGCCCTTGGGAGAAAACATCAAAGAGTTCAGCTGGTGATTCCTAGCTTAAGCAAGGAAAGTTCCATTCCTACAGAAAAAACAAAACTGTCCTAAATCATTGGGAAGTGGGAAACAAGAATAGCTCAGCCTTTCTTGTTAGACATTCAAATCTCTAATTATAATTCCATTTATTTTAAAATATTGATGCTGTATGAAATCTCAGCATCTATAACAGTGGTTCTTAACCTTCCTAATGCTGTGACCCTTTAATACAGTTCCTCATGTTGTGGTGACCCCAACCATAAAATTCTTTGTTGTTACTTTATAACTATAATTTTACTATTTTTATGACTCATGATGTAATTATCTGATATGCAGGATATTTGATATGGCACCCCAAAGGGGTTGTGACCCACAGGCTGAGAACCGCTGATCTATATCAAATGCAACAGAGCCGACATACAAACTAATCATCCAGCACTAGCCACTCTCCAAGCCCTCCCTAAGCAACTGAGGGAGCACTTGTCATTCATTGGTGACACTCAGAAAGGTTTCATCTGTGGTTAATTAATCCCAAATGCTTTAATAAAGAGAACAGGAAAAGGAGGAGAGGCATGCACTATTTCTATCTCCAGATTTAAAAATAAACAAAATCCTGAGTTTCGTGTGTGTGTGTACATAGAGGCATATGTCACTTAGTGATGGTAATACATTCTGAGAATAAGTCGCTAGGCAATGTCACCACTGGGACACAGAGTGCCCTTGCACAAACCTAGCTGGTATATCCTACTATATACTTGAGCTGGATAGGCTCTTACTGAGTATTAGCAGGGCAATTGGGCTAACAAGACACAATGAACAAAAGAGATTAAGGTCAAGCAATACAGTCAAGAGATACAGTGAACATGAGATGTATAAAGTTGCTGCTGGCATCAGGGCACACTGTTCTACACAGAAGAGTGACACAGTCAGCTAACCAGTGCTGTGACTGTATGACTGGCAGTCCAGGCTTGTTTAAAACAGCATCGTGACAAACTCAGCAGTAATGCACCACAATCCGACACCACAGCTACATCGGGTGACAGAAAAGGTTCAGATCCACAGCATCTTACAGGTCTGAACCTGCACAGTCATTTTAGAGATGGATCTAACTCTTTTAAAAAATTAATCTGGATTTATAAACACTTCCAAAAGAGTATGCAAAACTAAATACAAGTAATTAGGCAAATAGGGACTAATATAAAGTCAAGAATTGAAGTTAGTAGGCACTGATGACAGCCGCCTTCCACCACCACTCTCAGAGCTGCACCTCTATGCGGGTGCTTTGATTGGATTACTGACTGGTCACATCTTTCCCCGAAACCAACCCCAGAGAGGAATGATTCTCCCATACGTTTTCAATATGGGTAATGTGAGTATCTTCAGTACTGAACTTTAATATGCCAATGGTTAAACCAGATCTTTGGAGAGATTGTGGCAACAGAATAAATTACTAGTCAGTAAAGGCATTTCGGGGCAGGTGAAAAAATAGACTCATGGTCCAACTCAGTTTTCTGGGCAAGCTGGGAACCCGAATACCTGATAGCATGCTCAGCAGGCCTCTAAAAGGTGAGTCTTTCACCTTCAGCAGGCACTAAAGTTCAGTTCATATACAAGAGCCTAGGATGCAGATTTACAAGAATTAAGGCTGAGACTGGCATTTTCTCTCAGATTTCCAAAAGATAAAGAGCATTTGGGGCCCTGAGGTGAACCCTAAAAGATGAATAATATTTTCTTTAAAAAAAAAAAAAAGCTATGAGAGAAACTAAATTTTAAAAAAGTTAAAACCCTAAGCAAAACAATTACAGACTATTTTTCTACCAAATATGATTTTATCAAATATGGGCTAGAGAAATGATTCAGTGGTTAAGAGCACCAGCTGCTCTTCCAGAGGACCTGGGTTCAAACTTAAGCATCCACGTGGCAGCTCACGATCATCAGTAACTAAAGTCCCAGAGTCTCTCTGGCCTCTGAAGTCATTGCACACATCTAGCATATACAAACATGGTAGCAAAACACCCATACACATAAATAAAAAAATCAAAAAGATTGGTTAAGTATTTCTAAAACACAAGTATGTTAAAATTCAAAATGCAAATAATCCAAGAAAAAAAGTAACAAAAGATAGAACCTTAAGTACTAGGTAGGAGTCTGCCCTGCCAGTTCTGTAGCTCAAGAATGGTCTAACAGAGGCAGTTCCACATGGTTTACCCTCCGAATAAGCAATGCTGAATGCAGATACACACATTCTATAGGTAGAGCCCAGAGGGTATGCTGCAGTCTTGGAAACTCAGTGTTGCCAGTCTATGCAGTGGATCTAAGTGAAGGTAGCTCCTGGCACACCTTAAATGAGGGAAGTGGTTCAAGATTCCTCTGCAAGGAGAGTACAGGAGAATTCTGTACCCTAGGGTTTAAGACAGCATGTGTCCAAGCACAGGAGGTGTAGAGTCACCCCTGCCTGTCCTTCAGGCTTTTACAACACCAAGTTAAGGAGGGTATTCCCAAAAGTCTCAGAGAGAACCACCACTGGCTGGCTCAATTCTCAACACACAGCTATGTGTTATCCAAAGACAGTTCCTGAAGAACTGATGTTGCTTCTATATTAATACTCTGACTTCAAACAAGACCTTATCTTTGCAGTCTGTTTCCTCATCTCTAAAATTAGAACTCTAATATTTACAGCATTGTCTTATTATAGCAGTTGTCTTAACCAATGTCAAAAAACATAATATGATATGTAACTTATGACAAACGGTTTGAAGAACTCGTGCACCTTGGCCATACCTTTTTCATGCACGTGGCTTTCTGAGTATTTCCCCTCCATTCTTTCTTGCAGTAGTCCATGATATCCATTTCAGGAGCCACACTTAACCTGGGTTCTGCTGAAGAATGAAAATGGCAACAATCAACAAACAAGTAATGCGCCAGAGTATGGACATAAGGCACTCAGGGGAATCCACCCTTCACTCCTTACTTACTTTCTCTAGTCTAAAATTTCCTGAATCCCACCACTGCCCATGCATCTAGCCACAGCCACCACCACATCACCTCCAGCAGCCAGAGAGGTCTCTCAATGGGACCCCTTGTCATCACACCCTCCAGACAATTCTCCACACAGCAGCTAGTCAAGCCTGTGTGGAGACTTAAATCCTGGGTCAGGCAGCAGCCCTTCTGTGTGTGCTCAAGAGTACTGCAGCAACCTCCCAGCTCACACTCATCTGACCCACGGGTATCTATGAACACTTTTATAATCAGAATCAAGTATATGAACCATAAGAAAATACTTCCACCATCTGTAATTTTTCATATCTATTAGAGATAATACCTAACAAAGAATATATTTGTATTTACCTAAAAGACTATAGTTAATAAGCCAAAAAGTAACAGAGCGCTTGCTGTTGGCTAATCCACAGACTTCTTTGATGTCTCCCAAAACTAGTACACCTCAAGTTTAAACAAATGCTACCATTTGTCTCTTCTCCCCTAAGACCCTTCGTGTGTGTGTGTGTGTGTGTGTGTGTGTGTGTGTGTGTGTACTGAGGATTAAATCAAGGGCCTTAAGTAAGATTTTCTTGATTTAACCAATGAGGTTTGATGTATTGATACACACCTATGACTAGGTGCATGTTTGTTATGACAGTCTGTTACTTCAAAAGGGAAATGGGCAAATTCCTGGGTTCATCTTGGCTTTTTTTTTTTTTTTAAAAAAAACTGTTAAGAACATAGATATTAACAATTGTTTTAGGAGATGAATTTAGAAGTACTTCAGAACACAGCAAGCCTGCATATCTAGTGTTTCATTCAATTCAACATATATTCACTGAGTTCTAACCGTGTTGAACACTGTGCCAGAGCTGGGAATGTAAGATAGTGAACACAAAGATCCCACCCTGAATGGACTTCTTAAGGAAGAGAAAAGACCAGTGGAAGCCAAAATGACCAAGGAGCACCAAAGCCTTCCTACAGTTTTGGAAAGAAATTTGTTTTTAAAGTTTATTATAAAAACTGCCTATTCAAAAAGAACAAAAAAACAAACAACCCTCACTGTTCATCATTTCTTAAAGAAAAATCATTGTTTTACAAAAGGGGGAAATAATCCCTGCACAAATAGCACAGGCGTATTTCTGCATGGAATACATCAGGGATAACCTAGAAGTGAGAGACCACAAATCACTGTTGCACAACCAACCCTCAAATAAAGACCTTTCATCTCTGAAATTCAAGAAATAATTTTTAAGAGGCTGCTCAGAATAAGGAAGTGCTCCCCCACACAGGAAGAACTGCTAATGCACAGTCAGGACCCTTTCTGGGCCATAAGGTCTTGCCAGACAGGGGTGTGAACCTGGTGAGAACACACTACCAGCAGAAGAAAGGCTTCCAGACAGGAAGGCTCCTTCCAGCCATCCTCTTTTCTGACCCCTGGGCAGGGCTGGGGAATTCTACTATCTCAGGTCACAGGGCTGGCCCAGGGCTCTTATAAAGGCAAGACACCAAGGCAGATTCAGAGTCTGCACAGGAGCGGGAGGCTAGGGGAAATGACGTACTTGCACAGCTACAGCTACCGTAGCTGGGAGTACCAGCAGTCCCCACAGGCTGACTAGACTAGGAGATGGAGGCACAGGATGAGGCAGCTTTGACCTCATCAGCTCTACAGCCAAAACCAAAAATAAATAAAATAAGTAAAAACCCAAAAGTGGTAAGAAGGCACTCAAGGAAGCAAGGTGTGGACCTTATGCATCACATAAGTGATGAATATAATAATCATACCTCAAAGGGTAAGAACAAAACTAGGACTCCTCCAGGAAGCTGGGACTCTCGGAAGACAGACTAGGATCGGAATCTCAAAATTCTTCTGCAATGGGTCTGGTAGGAAATAACCTGGGTTTTAGGAGCAGTTTCTGTCCCAACTACTGAGCATGCATGAAAGCTGCCAAGGACAAACGTAAACCTAAAAGGTCCAATAGATCTGTGTTTATAAAGCTGGATAGGAGGTCAAGGCCTGGAAAGCCTTTCTTTATGGAGCGATGTTAGATGAGATATCTTTTCACCAACAAAGACCAACAACTTGGTCTTGGTCTGAGCTCTGCAGCGCAGGAGGTGGTGCTGCTACAGGACACTAAGGAAGAGCAAGAGCTCAGCAGGACTGAGCTATAAGGAGCGCTGTCAAACTGAAGCTGCACGTCACAAGACTCACTGAAAAGTCTGGATGCCTGTGTGCAGAACAATGCTGGACAGAAAGGAATCACAACAGAGCCCAGAAAGTGGAAGAGAAGCAGGAGGTTCTACAGCGCTAGCACAAGATGGGCAAACACACAAGAGCATGATGCCCCAACAGTATTCTGCGCCCTGAGTGATTTGGAGCAACACGCTGTGGAGGCTGAGCATCCTGTGAAGTCCTAGGGAGGACCACTATGACACATCTCTGCCACACTGGGAAGTTGACCAGCTCTAGAGTAAGACTCCGAAAGCATCAAAACCTTATGTATCCTAATCACAATAAAGCTTTTGTTAGCCGTCAGTGAAACAGACGTGACGACACAGCAGTGAGAAGATGTAACAGGCACACACTCTGGAGCTCTCCTCAGTCTCTGCAATGGAAGGACACAGCAGGAGCACTCATGGGAGCGAGAAGAGCAAGTCTGACAGAGCAGCACCCTGTGTAGAGTCACAAATGACTGGCGCTATCAGGCACATGGCCATTTTGCTGTAGTTAATCAGATTACAAGGCCTTCTTCAGACAAAGATATGTGTATAGTTAACTTCTCAAAACATCTTGCAATTGAAAATGAAAAGGGTATTCACATCCAAACGGTTGTAAGGATGTAAAGAAATAAACTGATAAGGGAGAGTCAACAGATGCAGGGAAAAGTCTTCCCTAAATCCATGTCAGCCATGTGGGCGATTCATATGAAGACACTGTATGTAGGAGAGGACCTAGGAAATACAGGCCACATTTCATGAAAGCAGATATACTAATCTAACTGAATTTTCTATAAACAAAAAAAGTCTACAAACAAAACAATTCCAAACATACCTGATTTCCCTCTTTCATGTATTAGCAATTCTTTCTCCTTTTCTATTTCATCTGCAGCACGGTACATGTCCTCCTCGCTGAAATCACACCAAAGTAGATATTTTCAAACTCTGTTCACTGACATTTCCCAATGTGTGATAACATACAGCTGCTATGAAATGCTTACGACACAGAAATAGAACTGTTTTCCCACATAGGACGCCACAGTAATAAAATATGGGTCCTAGAATGCTAGTGTCCCTCACCACTTCTGCTTCAGAACCGCTCCTTTAAATGAGACCATTCATACAGCAAAGGACTCCAAGGCCAATTCAACTAAAATCGACTAGCATGCATCTTAATCGGTAACGCTTCTGAAATGATTCCACCAAGTTCCAAAAGCAGAAATAGTGCTAATAATTTACACAGAAATGTCGACTTTTCTAATGTTACAAGCAATTCTGACAGCAGCAACTCTAAAAACATGAAGAGGGAATCAATTATAATAAGCCCCCTAAGCTAAAAACCCTCAATGAGGCTTCTCCTGTTCCCTAACCAGAAATGCTGTTGTGTTCCCACAAGTTTTAATTGCTATCACTATTCTTAAAGAATATAATCACTTCTGGTAACATACTAAATATTAGGAAAGGGAAAAAAATTCTAGACAAATATAATGAATGGGGCTTCCACTTTGAAAATACCTCCCTTTCCTTGAATATTTAGAGGCCTGGCTAGAGCTGCCTAGCATGTTCCAGCTTTAGGATTAATTCCAACATCTCAAAAATAATATTATCCCCAAATAACAATAAAGGGAACAGAACACAGCGATCTGCTGAAAGTGGAGACATGGATGTGAAAAACTGGGGGGAGGCAGAGAGGCAAACGGTGCAGGCAGGGAAGCCCAAAGCTGCTGGAGGGGCAGCTAGGCAAGGCAAACAAAGAAGTAAGCCAGGAGGAAGTCGAAGCCTCAGGAACTGGAAGAAGTAAGTCCATCTGAAGGAACAGCAACACACTGAGCTTAAAAATCAGGAGATTCCACATAAGGAGCGTGTAGACCTCCAACTCGCCATATTTCCCATGACAGTGCCCCATGCGCACAGCAGCCTGGGGAGAGAGGAGCTTCAAACACAACAGAATCCAGAAAGGAAGAGGTGCCAGGCTCAAAGAGAAGGAGCCAAGTGAATGAGTATGGTACTTCTGCTTCTGATCTCGTTATCTGTGGGTATGGCCTGGCAGGCAGAGCTGGGAGACAGAACAGCAGACCAGGAGGGACAGACGAAGAAGGGTGCTAGAGAGTGGACAGCAGTGGGAATCATTCGGTGTCTCCCAACTGAGAGAGAACAGATGTCTAAATCTGCACCGTGCAGACATGGTGGTACATGTTTATACTCCCAGTACTCAAGTACATGCTTGTACTCAAGAAGGCGTGACAGATCTTGATGACCAGACTGGAGTATACAAAGACCTTGTCATTCATATATATGAATACTCATACACATGAGTTATATATGTGTGTGAAATATATATAAATTATATATCCACCACTTCCCTCCCGCATGGATTTGATAATTGAACTCAGCGCAAAAAGTCACAACTGCTTTGTACTTTTACACCTGCGACTTCCTACAGGTGTTCTCTCATCCCAACAGGTTTGGAATCCTGTCTCTATCCTACCACATCCTGACACATGCTGTGTGGGCCCACCCTCTACAGAGAGCAACACTTGCTATGGGCATTCCAGTCAGGCTGGCAGAGGTTAGTTACCATTTACCCAGCCCTTATTACCTCTACACAGAGCAGTTACTTCACAGGACTACTGTTGAGAAAGACATACTTAAAATGAGTACTCAAAAAGGTTAGCTACTGTTAATTTTCATTTACCCACTGATATGTACTAATAAACAATTTATTTGCCCAGTAACCATTTCTTATCCTTGTTTTCCCTAGTGTGTATGTATGTATACATATAGCAGTATGCTGGTAAGAGAACAAGTATCATATGTTCCAGTGACATTTCAGGCAAAAGGCATGATGTCACCTACAGAGCTTGCGCCACAGTTAAAAGCAAACAGATGCATGGGAACAACAGATCAAAGGCCAAAAATAAAATATGACCACGTTTTCATTCTTTTCTCATAAATTTAACATCTTTCTGTCAAACCCCCATCAGAAAAATTCTGATTCTCTAAAACAGTCATTAAAACAAATCACTTTCTTAATATATTTAAATTCTCAGAAGCTGTCTTTGGACAACACTTCCCCAATCTTGCCCTTCGCTTTTTCAGCTTCAATGAGGAGGCTGGTAAGAGCTGTATGGTCTGCGGTTCCTCTTCCAGCTAAGTTCTAACCGCCTATCAGATATTTGCATTTCAGGCAAATTCTGTGGCCAGCCTGTATGAACATTTGTCTCCCTTCTGGTCCTCTGTTCTTAGTTTACAAAATAACCAAAATCATAATCACAACCCCAGCGCCCAGAAGAGGCAATCCAAAAAAAGCATTTTACAACTACAAATTCCTAGAAGGGCCAATAGGAAAAGAATTAAACAGCAGAACAGGAGAGGTGAGTGCAAAGGGAAGGCCAAACAGCACAGGAATGGTGGCAGTAGAGGCAGTGTTCAGGACACAGTTCTTACAAGAGGAGCAAAGCAGAAGCTGCTGACAAGCCCACAGCATCCACAAGCTACCTCAGCAACCGGACAGTTCACCCAGATCCTTGCACCACCATTTGCTAATTCCCTTAGCCACCAAAGGCGAGCTGAAGAAAGAACCCAAAGCTGTTTCCTTGGAGAACAGGAAAATGTTAATTTTAAGGATGGAGATCAACACAGCCAGAAAGGAAAGCATGTGACAGCCAGGATGAAATATCCCCCCACCTAAGGGTGACCAGGAAGAAACAGCACTTGCCTAGCAAGCCCCATTCTCTGGAGCTCACTCTAGGAGAGTAAAGAATGAAATAAAATGGTTCCATTTAGACTTTGTCTTGGGGCTTTATTCCCCAGCACCAGAACAAAACAAAACCATGGTCTAGATGTCTTAAGAGTCAACATATTACACTGAAAATAACTACAAAAGGAAATAATATTTAAAGCTGGGAATGTGAAGCAGGTAGAGATCTGTTTTTTGTTTATGGGAAGGGAAGATAACGAAACAATGCGAGGAAAAGGGATGTTAAGATAAAGTCACAGATGCTGACAGCTCGAAAAGGATGGCAACCATTACTGGTAAAGATGTGTCCACTCTGGCAAAGAACAGAGGCCACAAACTCCACAGGCTCGGAAGAGCACCACAGCAAAAACATCTCTCCTAGAAACATAACAGCTATAAAATAGTAAAGAGAAAAATGACCCAATGTCCAGACATGCTAGTTACTTTTAAACTGTGCAGATAATAAAATGATAATGAATCCTAACAAGAAATAACTAGTGTAGCCCATGGCATTATTTGGAAGAATCTGTTTTCAAGTTCCATAAAATACTACTTACCTACTTTCTCGTGAGCTAGTTTACTCTGAGAGCAACACACCAAACTGAGTAAACTAATAGCTAGTACCTATTACTCAGCTCAGAGGTTTCTAGATCGAGAAATTTTAAAGATGTGTGTGTGTGTGTGTGTGTGTGTGTGTGTGTGTGTGTGTGTGTGTGTCCACCTTCAGAGTACTGTCATTACAGGACCGGACCATTAAATGCAGCTAAGACTTGTTTGTAAACCAGGCTATGGTGGCACACACCTTTAATCCCAGCACTTGGAAGGCAGAGGCAGGAGAATCTCTGTTGAGTTTGAAGCCAGTCTGGTCTAGTTCCAGGACAGGCCAGTTCCAGGACAGGCTCCAAAGCTACAGAAAAACCTTGTCTTGAAAAAACAAAGAGACTTGTTTGTAAATGCTCACTAGTACAGACAAAATCATATTATTTCCAAGAAAATGGCAAATTAAAGGCAGAGCTCCATGAAGCCGTATTTTTCAATTTCTGATTCAAGTCATGAAAACAATTCTAATTTATATACACAGCTTACAAGACAATGTTTTTGCTTTAAAAAGATTTAAAATGTTTTCTTCATAAGAAAAAAGATGTATTTATTTTGATTTTACTGTTTTATGTGAATGTGTGTTTCCCTGAATGCATGTCTGTATGCCATGTGTGTGCCTGGTACCTGAGGCCAAAAGAGGGTGCTGGGAACCTAAACCAGGTCCTATACAAGAGCAGCAAGTACTTAACTACTAGCCATTTTTCCAACCCCCAAATAGTATCTTAATCACTCACCAATAAGAATGTTTGACCAAGACACCCTTAGTTATCTAAGAAAAGGAAGAGTATGGAGTTCTGTTCAGGTCTGAACGCATACATAACTTGGTCTGTCCCTAGAAGACTAATGGCTCAGGCAGTACTGCTGAGATAGTCAACCAGTGTGACGCCAACATGTCTTCCTTCCCCCACACACACAGGAAAAGTAAAGACCACTCAACCTAGCCTTTTTCCACTGTTCAGTGACTGCAGATAAGGGTAAACAATGCAGCAAACGCAGGAAAGTACCAGCACCTAGGCCAAAATCCCACCCACTTCTGCAAGTGGACTTTCCATGTGACTTCCAGAAGTGCATCTTCCACAATGAGGTCTGCAGACCTCCTGGATGATTCCTGAACGTGGGTTCTTCCTCGGCTGAGGAAAGGAGCCGGGCGCCACTACTACCCCACCACTACACCTATTCTCACCTGCTCCCTGAGAAGTAGACTAGGCAAGGGCAGAAAACACATAGCACAACAGTGGCTCTGGCAGTCCCTGAAAACAGCTTAATACTTGGAGGACAAGGGGTGCTTACAGACCCTTTAAGAAACCCTACTGTAGTGTGGAAACAAGCTTGCCCTCAGTTTCACAGGGCTTCACAGACTATTGGTACCGCTCCCCGCATTGCCCACCCACCATGAATCCCAGAATTCAACTCCAGTTCCATCCTCAAACAGATTGAGCGTGCATGGGGGCTGACCATGTCTAGTGTGGGGTAACTGTCTAAGGGTACTCCACAGATGGAGCAGAAACCAAACACGAAAGGATTCGAGCCCAGGGCTGGGGTGGTAAGAAGGTAGAGTGAAGGAGAACTGTAACATGAGTGGCCAGGGAGCTTGCAGAAAGGCAATTCCCGTCTGGTCTTCAAAAAGGACCCCAGGTTTTCCTGTGAGCCATCCCTTGAGGCCTGTTCAGCAAGCAGGGTATACATGTGGTTTATGGTCCCTCTTCCCCAGGCTTGCCCTTGTGAAATGCAGTGAGCTTACAGGACAGAAATCAGAGCAGCCTGCGCCACTACAGCCAGCCATCGTACCCTTCGGAGTCACAGCCCAGACACATAATTCAGCTGCAGGAGATTGGCTATCATTTGGATTCATAATTAATTCCCCCTCAAATGCAGTAAAAAGTGACTCCATAGAATATCTCAAAATATATCTAGTCTTGCTGTGTTCTCTATTTTAAGGTGCAAATATTTTCAATGATTCTGGGTGGAAAGAAAGATCGGGCCCTAGAGTTCAAAACAGATTTCTAAAGCACATTTTAAACAGTATTAATCTAAATTTACACTCATCTATTAAGCTGCATGTATTACATATGCATCTATTATACTGTGAACTATGTAATGTTCTATGATGAATGACCCTAAGAACACCTCACAAGGAAAAATCGCCCAATAAACTATCATACAGTGCTGATTCAGACAGAGGAGAGGCCAGTGGGGTACGATGTTGAAATAGCAACATTTTTAAGTTACACTTAAGCCCCATTTCTGCACCTGATGAAGAGTCAAAGGAGAATGGGATAATTAAAGGCAACACAGGCAGTAAAGAGAAAGAAATTAAGCTAATAAAAGCACAAACTACCAACGTGGAGGTGGTAAAGTCTGCTGTCCATATAAATTATGCCTCTGTTGCTAAGGAGGTCAGGAAGTAATGGGGGGGGGGCACTTCTCACCCAAGCATCCAGAAACTTGGTCTTGAAATCCCCTACCTGTGTCTCCCTGGACAAACTGTGCCTGCAGAACGTGCAACTGTTTCCTCAGAGTGTCAGGTGACAAACGTAGGCTTTCAGCTTTAGGACTACTAACAGGACTATGCTGACTCCTTCCTCTGGGATTTATTCTCCAAGGTGCTCGTGAGAATGACAACTATGTGTACTTCTGGGAATGTGGTTCTGGGCCCCAAATGTTCAGGGGTCATTCAAGCCATGTGAGACTGCTAAGGCAAGGCTGAGTTGCTGGGCATCTAGGGAAGGGCTCAGGACAGGAGGAAGGCAGGCAGTAGGAGCAGCTGGGAACCAAGCTGGGCCCAGAGGAAGAGCAGAGGCGAGAGACATCCTCGGTCTCGAACCTATATAGTCCCTACATGGCAGCCACAGATTAGAACAAGTCACACACACACACCTGTATATGGAATTCAATATAAAGAAAAATAAGTGTCCCTATTTAGGAATCAGGGCATTTCATGCAAAAGCCAAGATACATAAATTCATTAACTACAGAAGACCCAGCAACTATGCCTGGAGCTCAGAGAATGCTGACCCAGATAAAGAGCTAACAACTCTCCAAGTCCCAAAGCTAACTGCCATGTCACTAAGTCTTCAATTGCCAGCCTAGCTCAGGGAGAAAGTTAAGGCCTCCTACCCTACATCTTTCTGCAGTCACCATTAACTCATTACACGAATAATTACCACCACACTTGGGTGCTCAGTAAATAAAAGCGATCAATGCCCACCCCAGTGCACCGCTCAAACGAGCCATTATATCACATCTTCATTAACAAGGCTTCAAAAGACACCTTTAGGAGATTAAAAAAGCTCTGGGGGGTCCATTTAGATACACCTTACGACTTAAATTTTGGGTTGATAAGAAAACTTGTTGGGGGCAAGAGAGATGGTTCGGGGATTCGGTTCCCAGAACTCACCTGGTGACTCACAACCATCTATAACTCCAGTCCCTGGGGTTCAACACCCTCCTCTAACCTCCTCAGGCACCAGGCACTTACGCTGTACACTGACAGGCAGGCAAAAACACTCTTACACATAAAATAAAAATCAATAGAGAAGAAAAATTTTTAAAAAATAACGAAAAGAAAATCAGTCAAACTGGCTGGCTGAGGTTTTAATTTTCTAATTCCAGATGCATATGCAACCGTGCCACGAACTCTGAAGTGCAGACACCTCCAGCTCACGCAAAATGGAAACGCTCTGACTTAGGCCAGTAAGTCAGCACGGATTTTTGTGTGGATTTAAAAGCGATGGGTGAAGGGGACGCCCTGCCAGGCTCGGACGGGGTAAAGCGGAGAAGGCCAGCTTGTGGGCAAAGTCTGTCCAACAGGTACGACTCTCTTCGAGTAGCGACGGGTCTTCCCGGGGAGAAGACGCCGCAAGGCGGTTCTGGGGCTGTGACAGGGGCGACCTCACTTCCTCAGAGCTAGGCTGGAGGAAAGGGCTCCGGGGAGTTAAGACTCCCTTCGGAGCTCTTTCCCCGAATTCCTGGAGCTTTCCCTCGCTGTAGGGATGGACAGCTGTCACAGCGGGAGTGGGGCGGCCCGGGTGACCCGGCTGTGACAGGCTCGGCACCCCGACTCCGTCCGGCTCGCCTCCCGCCCACGGCAGCCCCGGGCCCTCGCCCGCCCCGCTCACTCACTGCTCGACCGGGCACCGCATCGCGGCCCGGGGCTGCGCGCCGATCGTCACCTTCCCGCCCTCCCGCGCCGCGGCCCCCGCCTCGCGGGCCGGCGTCTCCGCGCAGCTCGCCCCGGGCCACGCTCCGGGCTGAGGCATGGTTCCCCGACTCATGGGCGGCCACACCGGGCCCTGCGGTCCGGCCGACTGGAGCCGTGGCTGCGCTGCCCCGCGCCTCGCGAGGTCCGCACGGCGCTTCCGGGAGCGTCACTGGGGCCGCCCCCGCGACCTTTGACCCCCGGCAAGGGGGCGTGGCAGGAGGCGAGGCGTCCCGGTGACGGGTACGCCTGCGCAGAAGGACCGGAGCCGCGGAGCCCTGACGTCCACTGCGCGTGTTCAGATCCTGCTGGCTGAAGCAGCGCCTCACCCCGGGGTGCGCAGGCGGGAGTAGTGGGTGTGGGACGCTCGGCCGGACCCCGGCGGGGCGGTGTGGAGATGGAAGGCCCTGGTGGTAGTGAAGGGTCTCGGGGAGTTAGACGTCCCCGTAAAACTCCCGTTGGCCTTGGTTTCCGGAGTGACAGACAGTGCAGCCTCCCAGCCCGCGTGGCCTTAGGAGGGGCTTGGGGGGGGGGGGGTGGGTCACAGTGCAGCAAGCGCTGCCCTGTCTTGAATAGTTTCGTACGGTAGTTTTTACTTCAGAATAAGAGCAAAAGTCTGATGTTAGCAAGCTTCCAGTAGCTTACATGAAACTTGTGTCGTCTCTGAGACAGTGGAGGCGCAGACGCCATGGTGAGTAGGTGAGCGGGTAGGTTTAGCTCCAGCCTCAAGCTGAAGGAATACGTGGCAGGGACTATTGGGAAGCATGTAAGAGGTTCAGGGGCAGAGCGGGTAGGTAGCGGCGGGTCTTCTGGAACGTCAAATCATAAAGAGCCAAGTCACACTGATAAGCTTGGACTTGGTCTTCGTTAAGTGCTTTTGGTGAGGTCACTTTGGAAGATCCCTTTTGCCTGCAGTTAAACATTAAAGGATGGGGCTAAACTGATGTCCGGGGATCGGGGAACACATCCCCCGGACATCCCTACAAGGCCGATTAAAACTTCCCTGACTATGGAGAGCTAGAATGTTACAGGTTAGGAGCAAGCTGTTTGGGCAATCCTCAGCTCCCCTTAATAGCCATTTATTGCCAGCCTCTGTGTTGAGGTAACTTCATTGTGGCTACTGGGTAAATATTTCTGGAATGTACAGGCTCTTAGCTTTTATCAACCCAAGAGTGGAGAATATGATCAGATAGCCCGAGATCTAAAACAAGCATTTATACCGTCTACTTCATTTTCCAAAGTATTTAAAAAATACCTCTACCTTACTATTTTATCCATTCTGTTATCAAAAAACAGCAACAACGACAAAACAATGAAACTGTTATACTGGAACGTATTTGAGACAACTGTAGAGTAAAAAGGCCAGCCAAAGAAATCCACCCTGACTCTGAAACCACAGCCAGAGAAAGAAACACTTTATTCCTGAACCCAGACCCAAAGAAATGCACCCTGATCCTGAAACCAGTGCCAAAGAAATACACACACCTTGTCCCTAGAATCAGAGTCACTGAAAGAAATATGCCCTGGCCCCAAAACTAGAGGCAAAAAGCTTAGAAAAGCCAGTGAAAGCACAGTTTGGCTCTGAAATCAGTTATCTCTGCCCCTGACCAACTAAACTAACCAATCCCTGATTGTCTCCCTAGGAAAACTCTGCCCCTAAGAAGCCCTGTGCCTGTCCAGTTTGTGACTACTCTTCAACCTTGGTAGAGGCAGCCACTCTCCTGGATTCTTCCCTCCCAATAAATCTCTTGAGCTGGGGAAGCCTTCCTTCCCTTAATAGTCAGTTGTTACAACTTCCCTGAGGAAGTCAGAAGCCGAGCAAAGCAGAATTGTAACTTGTAACACTTTCACTGGGGTACCCTTCCTGAAGCACCAGAGCAGAGTTGTAACAACTTAGCTCGGAGAAGCCCTCTTCTGCCAGAGCAGAGCTGTTACATTGGGGGAAACCTTCCGAGGGCAGGGCTATAAACTGCTATGCTTACTGTGGCCTGTGCTATTCCCTGGCTCCCAACTGCCAGAGCACTCTTCCACCCCAGCTCTAACACTGACTATCCCTTGACTCCTGACTGCCAGGATCCCTCTCCATCTGAGCTGTGACCCTTACAGTAACCCATGTCTGCATTCCTGGACCATGATGCCTCATTTTGATTTGGCTCCAGAATAAACTGTCACTTACTCTTTTGGGTGGAAACTGCTCTTTGTATAGACAAGTGGGCAATAAATTTAGGGAGGTGGGACCATCAGAGACTAAACTATAGATAGAATGTCTTTTGAGACAAAGAACTCTGGGGTGTTCTTTTGTTCTTGAAAAGGTAAGAAACACACATGCCAGAAATTCAACGCCATACATTTACAGGCCTACCCGACCTAGACAGCCCCTCAACTGAGACCCTTGTCCTGGCGATTCTAGGTTGTGTCAGCTTGACAAAATGAGCAATCACATTAGATAAAAGGATTAAAAAGGTAAAAGACCAGAACAAACCAAGACCCCCAAACGTTTTTGACATACCTGGCCTCCAGCCTGGAGAGAGCTACTGAAAGAATAGTTCCAGCTTCTGGTCAAGACTGAACTGCTTGCCAAGAACGAGACGCAGAGATGCCCGTTTCCAGGTCCTGTCTTTAAAAACAGCCTGACCAAGCCGGGCGATGGTGGCGCACGCCTTTAATCCCAGCACTCGGGAGGCAGAGGCAGGCGGATCTCTGAGTTCGAGACCAGCCTGGTCTACTGAGCTAGTTCCAGGACAGGCTCAAAAGCCACAGAGAAACCCTGTCTCGAAAAACCAAAAAATAAAAATAAATAAGAACTGCCTGACCAATCTCTTCCTCCTGTTTTGGTCAGTAACAGTCACTCTGTATCTGTCGGTAAGGCTTCAATGTCTGCAGCGTCCAACACCTGTCTGCGCTCTATCGCTACCATACAGTTAGCGAGCTTCGGGCAAGCGGGCTGGAGATTGAAACACAGACAGACAGACGACAGACAGAGACACGGACCTCTAGTCACTGATAAGAAGCCCCCTCTTCAATAGCACCCTGGAGGCTTATATACCCAACAGTCAGGTGGGCCAACAGGTGAAAACCTTATCCTCTGATCCTCAAGGCAAGGTAGCACATGCTCGCTCGTGAAGCAGAGCTGGTAAACAACTTTGACACAGCTTTCAGTAACTCAAATCAGAAGGAAAGTCAAGATCTCTAGCAGGGAAGAGCAGCTGGAGGCCAGGACTCCAAATGGTCCCAACAAATGTCAAGGTTGTGGAACATCTCCCCCAAATCCTATTTCAGTGAAATTTTAGGATGTCAGGAAGTCATCCTCTAAGATAAAAGGTAAATTGCTATATCTGGCCCTTCCTACAAGTGAGGCAGGGGGTAGCAGGCTCTGTGCCCAGGGGGAGAAGAGCCATCTCTCCTGCAGGTCCAGACTAGTAAGCAAGTCACCATGCCACCCAGGCCATATGAGCCTGCAAATCCAGTTGTGCTTGACGTGGCACTGGCAGATTTAGAGCCCGTTTCACCCTTGGCAGGCACATAGAGGTGAATCACAACACAAACTCAGCACTTGGAATCGAGCCCTGCTTTCTCTGTGGAAAACTACTCTGTTTTTAGTTTGATGCTGGTTGTTGGTCAGAACTGAACACTTAGATGCCACTTTACTACGTGGTCTGAACTCAGTGACGAATCGTGTTGCCAGTAAGTAATGTCGCTGTGATCTGACGGCACTTCTGTGGTGTTCTTCCTCAAGTTCACAGTCCCAGAATAAGGGGCGAAGGGAGCATTGAGAGAGCTGTTAGACGAAGGTCATCCTGTAAAATATCTGACAGGCTGGGGGCTCAATGTTAAGAACACCTGCTGTTCTTGCAGAAGCCCTGGGTTTGCTTCCCCGTACCCACCACGCTTTCTCACAAGTGTTACCTGTGACTCTAATTCCAAAAGATCTAAGCCTTCTTCCAACTTCCTCGGGTACCGCATCACATGATAGACTTACACACATGCAGACAATCAGTCATAACATAAAAGTAAGATAAATGAATGTTAAAACAGAATTCTCCTGAACTGTCAAGATCTTCAAAAGGGAACAATTTGAGAAACTATTATGGCCAGAAGTAGTCTAAGGGCACAGCCACTAAATATGCAATGCTATCCTTATAACACAAAAAGCTTTTCAGTTATACAAGGGAAGTCTAAATAAACAATGATGTTTTTGGTAAATACTGGTTCGTTAATGATGGCAAACACACCATGCTAGCATGAACATCTTAGTGAGGACAAACTGGATGGGAAGCATATGATAACTATATGAACTATATTTCTATAAATAAAACTGCGTTAAAATCTCTTGTATAGTTAAAATCTTAACTTTTATTTATTGTGTGTGTGTGTGTGCATATGGAGTCCATTCTCTCAACTTTCATGTGGATCTCTCAGGACCAAACTCAGGTCTCCAGGCTTCTGTGGCAGGCGTCTTTGTTAACTACGAAGCCATCTTGCTGGCCCAAATCTGTTGTATTTTCAAAAATCAAACTCAAATCACCATGTCATAAAATGTGAAAACCAAAACTTTCCAAAATAGTGAAGCATATCCACCTGCATTGTCCTTGTACACCTCATTGAAATTTCTTATTTATTTTTGGCTGTTTTGAGACAGGGCTTTTTGGAGCCCCATCTGGGCCCAAATTCATGGTGTAGATCAAGGATGCCCTGGAACTGAATGTCCTGCCTCCACCTCCCAAGTGCTAGAATTGCAGGTGTTTGCCAAGACACTCAGGTCAGAACTTAAATATCAGTTGTTTCAACTGTATATGTCTCCTAAAATTTCTCTCTCTGTGTTCTGCACTGCTACTCAAACATACGTGTAGAAGCATGGATGTGATTCTTTAGCATGACTGTGGAGGACTATGTAGCATGACTGATGTTATAGAACTTAGTTGTGTGTGTGTCTGACTAAAAAGTCAAAAGCTAATTTTTTAGAGTTCACCATAAAGAGAAAGACCAGGGCCAGCAACATGGCTTAGCAGGTGAGGGCACTTACCACCAAACGAATGGCCTGATTCTACCCCTCGGGCCCATAGGATGGAAGGAGACAACAACGCCCACAATTTGTCCTCTGATCTCCACGTATGCTCCCACCTGCATATTTTCACACAGGTATAATAAATGCAATTTTAAAGTATTTTAAAATT